ATCGCAAATCGCAGGGACCAACAGGTCGAAACTGTAACACGGCCATGGGAAGGTTCCCAAACCCCGCAAAACACAGTGTTTCAGACCCGGCATCCTACATTCTCTGGCATATGCGTGTGCGCATCGCAACTCGCGAGCTCAAAAAACCAGGTCGAAATTGTAACATGGCCATGGGAGGGCTCCCAAACCCTGCAAAACACAGTGTTTCCCTATATCCCAAACCTTGCATCTTACATTTTGGCAATACGCGCATGCGCATCGCACATCGCATAGATGAATACATTTGAATACGCAGAAGCGCCCAACCGCCTACAGTATTGACTATAAAATTGAAAAATATGAAAACATCATCAAACATCATCGCGAAGTCGCCCTTCCACCCAAACTCCCAGAAAATGTGAGACCTCTGGGGCAGCAGCGCTCTGATCTGGCACATGTGGAACGACCTGGGGAAAACAGGGGTCGCTTTAGATAGGGCACCCCGTTGTGATGGAAACAATCTGCATCAAGCCTTTTTTGGATTCCTACATATTCCTGCCATCATTTGCAAATCTGAACCTGAGCGGCTGAGTAAGAGGCCGTCAAGGGAGAGATGCCGGAGCGCTTGCCGCAAAGACTTGGTGATCTTGAAATCGGTTGTGAAATTTTGATGCTTTGAGCTCGCGGTGTGAGTGAGAGTGCGTGCGTCGTGGTTTTCGAGCGGATGCGCTGTCTTTGAGCCACAGCGATAAGTTTTCAGAAGGTGCGAGTGCCTGCGTGTGTTTCTGCGTCTGCCCGGTCTGCGGCAAGTTTGTTCTGATGCGTGCTGCATGAGCTTGATGCATGTGTTTCTGATACGGTGACACGTTGTGCTACTTCAATTTCACATCAACGACGTACCCACCCTTCAAATGTTGCGGGCGCGCTGCTCATTTTTATTGCCGGCGCCTTCTGCCTTCTCAGGGCAGCAAAGCCATGCGCGCATTGGTGACACGGCTCGGGCCATACCAAACTCTACCAGCTAAGCATCCTTGGGGATCAGGCTGGCCGTGCATGATGTACACCAGCAAGAGGAGGTCGCCGGCAACTCCTCTCATTGCCTGTGCGGGACGCCGAACCACTCATGAACATTTTTCTTGCAAGCTGACAAGGCGCTGACACATGCCAACATGCCGAAACTAAGGGCGCCTTGGCTGATGACATCGGAAGCGCCAGCAGGACGGCGAGGGTCCAGTTGAAGGTGATTGATTGCTCCTGGACCTTGAAGCAAAGCTTCACATCGCCGTTTGCCACCTGCACGTGCTCGAAGAACCACAGGCCTCCTCTCAGGATACATTGCTCAACAAGCTGCGCAACATTTTTATTCAGAGGTGTTGCTTGAAGCCTTGCCGGGCGTCAACTCCAGGATTGCCGCATTGCAGCCCAGCCAGTATATCTCCTGAAACGCGCTGCGCGTGCACGGAACATAGTTAAAGGACCGGATAACCCCACATGTCAACTTCTTCCAACAAGCTCAAAACAGGTGTGAAAATGGGATGGGGAAGACAGATTGTGTGAAAGAACTGTGTGTGACAGAGCTGTGTGTGAAAGAGTTGTGTGTGAAAGTGCTGTATGTGACAAGGAAAGGATGTGTGTGACAATGTTGTATGTGAAAGAGTCGTGTGTGAAAGGCAATGTGTGAAAGAGTTGTGTGTAGAAGAGTTTTGTGTGAAAGGCTGTGTGTAAAAGAGTTGTGTGTGACAATTTGCGTGTGAAAGAATTGTGTGTGAAAGGTTGTGCGTGAAAGAGTTGTGTGTGGAAGTTTGTGTGTTCAAGCTTGTTGTGTGTCTGTCTGTGGAAGTGGAAGTTTGTGTATTCAAGTTCGTGAAAGAGATTTGAGTGACAAAGTTGCGTCTGAAAGAACTGTGTGTTCAAGTTTGTGTGAAAGAGTTGTGTGCGTGTGTTGTGTATGAAAGCGTTGTGTCTGGAAGTGTGTATGTGTTCAAGTTTGTGTGTGAAAGGAGTATGTTTAAAAGGTGTGTGTGTGTGTTCAAGGTTGTGTGTTCGAGAGGGGTGTGTGTGTGTGAAAGAGGTCTGTGTGGAAGTTTGTGTGTTCGCGTAGATGTTGCCAAGTGCCACGCCTGCCACGCAAAACCAAGGTTGATGTCTCCAAGTGCCACGCATGCCACGCAAAACGGTGGATGTCGCCAAGCGCCACGCCTGCCACGCAAAACGACGGTAGATGTCGCCAGGTGCCACGCCTGCCACGCAAAGTGCCGCTGCGCCCCGGGCGACCAACGGGGACCAAGCGCGCCACCAGAGCCAGCCCAGTGCCATATGTGCCACGCCTGCCAGGCAAAACGGAGGTCGATGTGAGATGGTGTGTGACAAAGTTGTGTGTGAAAGATGATGTGTGACAAAGATGTGTGTGAAAGATGGTGTGTGACAAAGTTGTGTGTGGAAGATGGTGTGCGACAAAGATGTGTGTGTGTGTGAAAGACGGTGTGCGACAAATTGTGTGTGAAAGATGGTGTGTGACAAAGTTGTGTGCGAAAGAGAGTGTATGACAAAGTTGTGTGTGAAAGATGGTGTGTGACAAAGTTGTGTGTGTGAAAGAGTGTATGACAAAGTTGTGTGTGAAAAGTTGTGTGTGAAAGAGAGTGTGTGATGTCGGCGGAGGGGGCGGGGCCGGGAGGAGCGGGATACAGAATCAAAAACAAGAACCCCACACAAAGATGTGGGGAAAAACACATAAGCAAACATGCAATGAACATCAATAAACATATAAACACATTCAAAAAGGTAACATGTACCTCCCACGTCTATGTTACAATTTCTTGGGGGTATGTAGCATCTGCGTGCTGGGCCCCCCCCATACGTATATTTTGACATGGTTTGATCATCTTGGGTGGACCACCCCTCAACACATGAAACATGCAGGTGGGGGGTACATGTTGCATTTGTTTGGGGGGGTGTCCTGCTTCTATGATAGCTATATAGAGGGTGGGTCCCAAAAAGCGTCATTGTATGTTACATTTTTGGGGTCTCCAAGGATTCACACACACAGATATATGGTCCCGTGTCTCGTGTTGGTGTGGAAGGTTGACCCCCCTCCACCCCCACCCCCCCAATGATACATAGACATGTGCATATACACACAAATATACATACTGTATACATTTGCACATACACATACTACATACGTAAACAATCGTGTACGCACCATGTATATATATATACACACTACTTACATATATATATATTTATAAATATACACGTGCATACCTAAATAGCTTACATATACATACAGGGACCATCACCATCTCGCGGGGTGAGCAGGGGACCACCAGACACTGGGCTATATATAAATAGATACATTACATCACATTGCATCACATTACATAACATAACATTACATAACATAGCAAACCATAACATAACATAACATAACATAACACAACATAACATAACATACATACACACATGACATGTATATATATATATATAGAGTATTGCGAGGAATCACACACACACACACTTATGCCGGCTGGTTGCAATATCTGGAATTGGAAGTATGGTTTTGAATATTTAGAATCACCCATTATTCAAACAAGTTGGAAAGTCCCGAAAGTGGGTGGCTGTAAAATAGCTAGATGTATGGGGTGTAGAAATAGGCCAGCCAAAAATTCTGTCTGGGCGTTGATAAAACGATCATGGCTGTACGGAAATCCCATGAAATCCCAGCAGGGTCCTGAAGTCGCTAGAGAAGACATTTTCAAGGAGATGGTTAGCTGCTATTACAAGTAACTGCTGATCTTTGAAACAAAACAAGCAGTTTTCAAAAAATGACGTGAGCAGCCGAAAAACGCAGAAGCAGAAGATCTAGTCGACAGCGTCCAGGTTTGTTAGTGTTGGCTCTTGAAAGAGTTTCAAGAAGAACATAAAGACGCCAGAGGAAATCACAAAGTCCAATATCCTGGTGGTAAAGGTCATTTTGGAATATTTCGAATAGCTTTCAAGAACCGAACATCTTCACGAGCAAACAATTGAATGCAAGATGAATAGCAAAAGAAACATATGGAAACCAAGTTGCATGCCTATAAAACAGGTATTCTGCCGAAACGGGTGTCTAGTCACTGCAGAGAGAGTAGTATAGAGTAACATATTGTAACATAGCCGTGTAATATATTGAAACCATGGGCCACTCGAGTAACAAATGGCTGGATGTCAAACAAGAACGCATGAGGTCTTGCTTTAGCGGGGCGGGGATGACACATACTAGTAGATAGAACCTCATTGGGCCGCTTGGGTAGCTGACTTCTCTGTGGAAGAGTTTGACATGTATTTAAATGTGCTGGGGTAATATGCTGAGGGGTTGAGATTGGGGCGGTCCTGGAACTATGTGCCATATTGTGTGCACCCGATCTGTATTTTTCTGTCTCCTACCTGGTTTGTTACATCAATCATATCCTACTGTTTGGCAGCAAGCCGTTTGCTTTTCTGTTTTTTATTTGCAGCGTCTTTACTTGTCAGTTAAGCCATGTGAAAATGTACAATGTACTTGCTGTACCATATTCAGAAGTATTCCATCTACTTTGGGATCACTTTATTACAAAATTAATACGCAATACACACAAATAATATTAGTATCATTTACCACACACACATCCAGTATGCGGAGCCCACACACCGGCATTCTATACGAATAAATTGAGCCGCTGCAGCCTCTGCCAAATCTGGAGCAAAGAACATGTCGAGCAAGCCCGAGTGGTCTCGAGTGTCTATGTGCGATTTCAAACTGCACCACTAAGCAGCTTGAATAACATCAAAATTGACTCAGGCCTCACAAGTAGAAACGCTCAACTAGAACTTGAGTAGCTTGATGCAGCTTGTGTCTTGCAGCAACTTTGGCTGCTCAAAGAGTGAAACCATGACTGCGCAATTGAAATTAATGTTTAGACTGAAACATGCTGAAACCATCAACGATCTCACATTGGAATTGCTGCAACATTTGTTTAATTTAGTTTGTTTAGTTTCCAGTTGCCATGTTTAGTCTGCAACCACAAGATTTCACTGCACACTAAAACGTGCGTTCATACGGAGAATCGCCAAGAAGACAACCACTTGGTGGTTCTTTGTTGGCGTGCTTCGCGGAGTCTTCGCAGCTGGATCACCAAAGCCATGGCCATTATCAGCGGACCCAGAGAAGGTGACTTAGCAAAGCTCAGCTTCCAAAAGCACCAATGTTTTCTGGTGCTCACGCCTGGCGCTGTCTCTGTCAAGCCTCTGAAGTCTCCTGGGCCAGAGCAAAAGATGGCAAAACATGGTAAATTCAAAAATTCCTCTGACGCAAATGTCTCAAGGCACGACTCGGCACGACTGGGCACGATTCGGCACAAGCGGCACACTACGTCATGCCTGTCTACTTGTGCGATCTTATGCATGTTTATCACTTATTTTACATGTCTTCTTGAGGGGCCACATGGAAAAAATACAGCAGACATGACTTTTGAAGCTGTTGGTGCTGAAGGCACGAGGCAGTTGGCACGATGTGCCCAGAATCTAAAAGATCCTCGTGGACACTTTCCTCTCAATGCGTTCAAATATGTGGATTCGGGAGCATGGGCTTAGCTTGCAAACGTTTCCCGGCAAAATTCTTTCTTCTGTGGGAAGCCAGGTTCAAGACTTGAGAATACTGGGAAAATTATACAATAATATACAGCATAATCACAATTCATCGTGGCATCTTGAGGGCATTTCCAATGTGTGTAGCAATGCTAGCAACCCAGGGCAGCTTGTTCCTTGCGCATTTCGGGTGCAGAAGGACTCGACCTGAGTCTACATTGATATGCAATGAACGAAGTATACTGAAGTATGTTGAATCATTGTGTCGCATCCAGCCAAAGCTCACCAACAAAACAAGAACAGCATTGACAGGTAAAAAGTGAGCGATTCGCTTCATTCCTTTCTTTGCAAGCTCCCGGATGCGAGGTTCTTGGATCTTTGGAAGCCTCAAACACTTCGCGCTTTCTGCAGACGTGTCTAACCTGAACTTGCTGCAGTTGAACAGTCATGATATTTACATGTCAAGACTTGTGCAAAGCATTGCGCAATATATATATATATGTGTGTGTGCGTGAAAACATAAACAGGTATTTCCCGGGCAAGCCAGGGGCAGGAGTTTCAAAATTGAAACGCTTGTGGCCTATAGAGCGGAGCAAAGACTGGGCCTATAGGATGCGAGCAAGCCTTCTGAGCATCGCAGCAACAAGCTCTCTTGACTTGTCAATCTGATGACATGTCTTTTGAATCTTGAATCTTTCCTATTTCATCTGATCTCATCGCATCGCGGCTTCTCTTGGAAATTGCTCATTGCATCCCATTGTCACCGCAGTCTGTGTCATCCCATCTCATCTCAACTCATCTCATGTCTTCTCAGCTTTTTTCCACCTCATCTCATCTCATCCCATCTCATGTCCTCTCTCCCTTTCTCAAGGGGAAAGAAAAAGCGGATGGACGACGGGCCAAACACCGACCAGAGGAGGGGGGGGCGGACGGAAGCGCCTGATACAACCCACAAGGCGAAAGCCAAACCCGCACGTGAAGGACCCAAACCTGACCTAGAGAGGAGGCACGCATGAAATAGGGGACCAATGGGGGGCTAGTTGATGAATTAGATGCATCCACATGCGCATGCAAATTTCGTGATTAGGGTCAAGGCCCCTCGGTTGTCAAGTCCGACCCTGTAGACAACTATCAGTAGTCCCCAGCTAATTTACACGCACAATTGAACCGTACCAGAGACAAGAAGGAAGTAATTACCCCTCCTAATGGCATGTCCTGGTGCCTGGGAAGCATGTCATGTCATGACATGTCGAGCTCCGTACTCTCTTGGGCAAAGCTGAAAAGACGAAGGTTTCCAGTTGCAAGTGGCACTACAAGAAATCAGTACCGAAAAACGGCGAAGCCAAGCACAGCGGCCAGTAGTTCAACATAGAATTAGTCCACGGAGGCCTATTTTTTTTTGTTTTTTTTGGTTTACGTTTTTGGATTTTTTTTGGGGTTTCTTGTTTTATTTTGCTTTCTCCTTTTTTTTGTTTGCTTTTTTGCTTTTTTCTTTTGTTTTTTATTTTTTTGTTTTTTTTGCTTGTTTGCTTTTTTGCGTTTTTGCTTTTTTTGTTTTTTTTTGCTTTTTTTGCTTTTTTGCTTGTTTGCTTTTTTGCTTGTTTGCTTTTGTGCTGTTTTGCTTTTTGCTTTTCTTGTTTTTTTTTTGTGTTTTTGCTTTTTTGCTTTTTTGCTTGTTTGCTTTTTGTTTTTTTGCTTTTTGTTATTTTTGCCTTTTTTGCTTTTTTGTTTTTTTGCTTGTTTGCGTTTGGCTTTTGGCTTGCTTTCCATGGCTTTTGGTGGTATTTTTAGTATGTCAAACTTGCACACTTTTCAATACACTAGTTTGAATCGACTATATTAATATTTATGTTTAAATTAAAATCTATATATATATATATTTACATATATACATATATATATGTATGTATGTATATATATATGCATTTATATACACACTTATATATTTTTATCTAAATATACATATCATTACTATTTATGTTCAAATTCAAATATAATATATATATATATGTAAATATGTGCATATATTTATATTTATGCATGTATATATACACTTATATATTTATATTTATACATATATATATTATATTGATATATTTATATTTATACATTTATATTGATATATTTATATTTATCTTTTTATTTATAAATTATATTTATATATTTATATTTACATATTAATATATATTTATGTACTTATATATATATATACATTCATATGTATATACATAAAAATGTATATATATATATATATAAATAAGTATGTATCTATAAGTATATATACTGTATTCCACATGTTTCCAGGGTGCATGTCGTGTAGTCTATACACCTTGGGTATCACATTCAACCCAGCACCTTGCATGTAAAATAGGTGTTTCTAATCTGCTTTGGGGGGGAGGCGCTGCGCCCTTGTTTTTGTTTCGACCTAATACCTACAGAGGTACATGCATGAGTATTGAGCACAGTATATGCGCCCTTCAAGGCTCAAGAGGTATACTAGAGTAACCCTGTAGACATAGCACTGACCGGCAACAGGCTGAGTAAAAGAGTGCTGTCATTGGGGAAGACGCCTTAGCTGATCTTGAAGTAGACGCTAGGGCCCCTCTTCAAGTGGTAGCGGAGCAGTGATCCCTCATTGAGGGTGAGCTCCAGGTAGAGCCCAAGCAATGGCACGCCATGGCTATGATGATGATGATGACTTCGACATTGTCGATGCAGATGAATGGAACCAATATGACTCTTATGCAATGAGAAGAGCACCCCAGCAGACACAGATTCACATGACGCAACAAATGACCACAAAGGTAGCTCCAGCATATGATGGGAGAACTAGCTTCTTCAATCGACTGGAAGGAGATGCTCAACAATACAAGAGGCTATTGGATAGAGAGATGCTCAGGGATCCCCAGGAAGGAGTGAACTAATTCAAAAGATTTCTACGACCTCATTTCATCAAGGGTGCCCAGAACGTGTTTTTATACCGTTTCATGCAGTTCATGAAGTACAACAGAGGAACTATGGATCTTCAGAAGTGGATGACTAGATTTCAACTCACTGGCAATAGACTTATTGAGTCTTGGATGGATTTACTTCCAGAAGCAACAGTGACTAGTCCTGAAGCAATCCTGTTTGTTGCACAAAAACGTCAAGAACATGATCGAGATCAACAAGAAAGAGCTGAAGTAGCAGCAGCCTCAGGAACAGCTCCTCATGTACCTGTTCCTTGGTCGGATGAACTGGCATTGGTGGCATTCAAACAGTATCAAGAACATCGTAGACAAATTCAGAGACAAGCATTCCCACTGGGTGAAAATTTGCTAGCATTGACTTTTGTAAGTCTAGCAGACCTGACACAGGATCAGAGAAACACACTCACAAGTATCATGACACATCGTGGACGAACCCTCGATCGATACAACATTCAAGAACTACGTGACCTGTTTTTGGAAATGTTTTGCACTACCAAAACAGCAGTTGACAATCCAATGATGCAACCCTCTGGCATGGCACAGAGAAGATCTTTCCTCGTTCTTGATGAAGGTGACCTTGAAGGAACCGACGGCTATTGGGCCGAAGATGATGAAGACGGCGCAGAAGGATTCCTGGATGCTTTAGAAGATGTTTTCTGGGTATATGATGACGCTGACTACACATGGTATCAGAGAAGGTTCCAGGGCAAACAGATCAGACGAGGCAAAGGTAAAGGAAAGAGAAAAGGAAAAGGAAAAGGCAGAGGAGGACGAAGGTTCTTCAGATCAAGGAAAGGAAAAGGCCGAGGAAAAGGAAAAAGGAAAGGCCGTGCTCACATGGTGAGTGAAGAAGGTTATGAAGAAGATTGGCAAGAAGAAGAATGGAATGAAAACTATGACGGCTATTGGGCCGATGATCAAAACTGGAATGAAGGCTATTGGGCCTTTGATGATCTGCACTCTATGGATGAGTATGGATACTTCCAGAGGAAAGGCAAAGGAAAAGGAAAAGGAAAGAAAGGCAAGAAAGGCAAGGATGATGATGGAAAAGGAGGAAAGCCAGGAGATGGAAAAGGCAAGTCAAACTATGTTCAACCTCAGACCACATCAATTCCTGCCATACAAAACCAACAAACCCAACAAGCTCATTATTCTTCTGCTGCATCAAGTTCTGGTCATGGTTTCTTTGCTTTTGGAAGAACTGACCCATTACGTGTTGATGTTGCAGAGACAGCGCCAGCACGTGTTGATGTTTTGACATCCACGTATGAACAACAAGAAGTACAACGACGCACTCGTCGTGGAGGGCAGAACCAAGGTGATGCAACAGCACAGCAAAACAGGAGAAGATTCCCTGTTCTGGTTGGAGATCTTGATGCACTTCGACGAGGTGTACAACAACGTCCAGCTCGTCAAGAAGGTGAGGCTTCATGGAAGCCATTGGCAAAAGGCACATCATTGTTTTCATATGGATGCTCTACAGAGATAGAGGTACCATCACAGCAGAGTGCTTTTTCATTTCATACTGTACAGACTGATCTGGCATGTGAGAATGGACTAGCTTTTCACACAGAGAATTCTGCACCACCAACTGTATGTATCCTGGATCTTGGATGCACAAGAGCTATGGGCTCTCGACGAGCAGTTGAAGCATTTTGCAGATATGTTGACTCACATCCCAACAGTGGACTCTGGTATGAAATTCAGCCAACAAGTTCAAGATTCTTCTTTGATTGACCCATGTAATGCTTATAACGTGAAAATCATATTCTGGGTTCCTGGGCGCTATTTCTGGGTTCCTGGGCACTAATTCTATGTTCTTTCATGGTTCTGGAACTAAAGTGCTGTGGAAATAGAATTTGACTTTTGCAATGTCCAAGTTTGGGTTCCTTTGACCATAAGGGGTTCGGCTATCAGATTCTTAACACAGAACCGCCCAGGATTGCCCAGGACTTCCCAGGACTACACAGACACTGCCCAGGTACTACCCAGGAATCCTGGAACAGTTATGCTAAGCATTGCAGAATTATAATGCTTATCGTAAGTGTCACCGAAACGGTTTGGCGTCTATAATGCTTGGCGCAACTGTCAGGTCGATTCCTGAGTAGTACCTGGGTACTAACTTCTGCCAGGATGTAAATCAACACTGCCCAGGAATGATCTCCAAGTTGTGACATGCATTAGACCGCGCTAGTGAGCTATCCCAAGCACCAGATGTCCTAGTTTTTGAGCGGTCAAGCCCTCACTTTCTTGATTTCCAGCCCCTGACCGTGCCAGCCTCGGTGCCGCGCACCGTGCCCCAGTTTTTTCCCACGTTATAAGCATTACGTGGGATAATCAAATTCTTCTTTGCAAATTCACAACAATCCAAATGTACTGAGAAGCTCGTGATATTCATGTATGATCATGGATGGAAC